AGTTTAGCTACTTGAATAATTGGACTGATTCATAGCAGTGAAGTTATACAGCAATTACTTTTTAGGATCTTTTTATATTAAAAATCCATAAGGTTTGTCTACTGCAAGGTTTTGGTTTTGGCTTGCCATTGTCAGGTAATGCCTGTGTGTGTGCAAGTGAAATCTGGCATCATTTATAGAATCTTCTCCTCTGTGTGTGGATCAAGTAGTCTCTGAGTTTCTGTGCTTTGTAAGATTTACAGTTTGACCTTTGAATTTCTGAGAACAAATTATCAAGAATCTCACCTTTATGCCAAAAAAGAAGGTATTAGATAATATTTTGTCATGGAAAAATACCTCTCCAATGAGTTGGAAAGAATTTGTCATTTGAGTAGTTTGAAAATAAAATTACCTCATTACAGTGACTGAAACAGTTTCTCCTTTTCAGTGGCCTTTTAAACAGCCAAAAACTGTTCTCTTTAAAATTTACAAGTACTGGGTAATATAGCTGAAGGCTCCATTTAATAACTTGTCCTGATTAATGTCTGTATGTTCAGATAGATGCATTAATGTACATTAAAGCAAATCAGAGTGCTCATACACTCCAAAAATCTCAAAACCCTCATTGCTCTTCTAATAATCAAAATCTTAACAAAGAGCACAGAATAAACCAATATTCCCACCTTCCTTAAACATTGTACCTGCTTGTTCTGCATAGTTCTTGTTTACAAAAAGCTTTATCCCTTTGCAGAGATGGGATCCCTTGATGGCAAGTATCCTGTGACCAGCGCTAGCTCTCAATAACTGAGGATGGGGAAGAATGTCCTGTTCTTTACAGATTGTTGCCTTAAGCTGGACACTTTGGGTGTCCCAGCTATATTCTGTAAGGCATTAGAAAGCTCTTACAGCTTCCTTCACTTTCCTCATTAGGTATGGTTGCCATTCAAATCTCTCTTGAGATGCTGTTTTTCTCCATCAGTGTGTGGCTGAACATGAGGAAGGCCAATTTGTCATATCCAATTACTCCTTTCCTGATACAGTCCACTGAGCTTATAATTTTTGTATCAGCATTTCTCAGTGGAGTGAGTTCTGCAGCTGGAGTTCTCTGCTGGTATCATTCCTTCATGTTCCTTCTACTGTTTATCTTTCTCACACCTTCAGCATATTGATTAAATGTCTCTGGACTGGTACAAGAGACTGAGTTTGTTCCTTCATTTGTGATGTCAGAAGTCTGCAAGAGTGGGAATGAAGTTGTGCCAACAAACTCTTCCTAGAAGATACAAGGTTTTGAGATTATGGGCTTGTAATTTTTCATATTATTCTGAGCATGAAATGGCAGCACTCTGGAATTAAATGCTCTCAATGGTTTCTTTCTCTCCTGCAGACATATTTGTATCATGAAATATTTGGGGAAAAAATACTGGGTTTAGATGGTTCTGAATTATATTTATAGAAGCTTCTACATAAAACGAATATAACATGAAGAATAATTTATTGTTTAAAGCATCTGGTCTCACTCCAGATTTGGCAAATATTTCTGGGTTAATCTGGAAGGTTGACAAAGAATCCTGCATGTTTGGATCAGAAAATATGTTGCTTAACTTTATCCCTCGATTGCTAATGCTGGCAATTGAAAAACAAATCATCTCACACTGAGCATTTACAAATAGTATTAGTGTCTTAGAGTTGGAGAGCACAAGTGAGCACCAGACTATTTCTTTCCTCTGTAAACTGTAAGATTTTGTAGTGATTTTTCTCTTAGTAGTTAAAATCTATTTCAAGTAACCTTTTGTGCACTTTTAGTCCAGATTATACCCTTACCTTTTTGAATCCCAGAGCTGTTGAATCCATGTAGTATCTCTGCCATTTCCTAAAAGAGAGTCTCCTGCTGCCACTCTCCCTTAAATGTTTGAAATCTTGAATTTTGTTTTCCTTAAAAGCTATAGGCAGCCAAATAGGAGATTACTTAAACTTTAAATAAGCACAAGCAATGGCTACATAGTGTTGGACAAAAGATCTGGTTCTGGAGTTACTTTTTGCAATTTTCCTTATTTCTGATTTTGTTTCACTTTCTACCTCATGTACCTTTCAGTTTTGAGACAGTTTGATTTGCACAAGCATAGGTTCCCTGCCTAAACAAATAAGAGTAATCTTATTTATTTTTGCTGTACTGTATTATTTCTTTCATAACCTATACCTGGTTTATCATTCATGCACAAGTCTTGCAAATACATTTTCAGTGTTTTTTCTTGAGCATGTGGAAGCCATCCCAACCAAGCTCTGCTACCCACATAGTGGTGATTTTCATGCAAAAAGAGAAAAATTCAGAAAAGTGGCTAACTTTTGGGTTTTTTCTCAACCAGATGGGCTCATAAGCTAGAGAATATGGGTAATCAGGTACTCTGGCTACAAACCAGTTTTTGGCGTTGGTTCAGTTGTGGGGTTGGTATAAAGATTTTGTCCACTCCCATGGGAAGGTGGCTAAAATAATGATAATTTATTGCAATGATAATTTTCTGCATCTCTGTTTGGGAGGGGGCAGGTGCAGTATTCAGAAAGAAAAACCTCTCCTAGAGCAGTGTGAGATCTACAGTTCTTGCCACTGAGGCACTTAGTGGTGCCCCCATCAGTACCTTGCATTCTCAGTACTAGGAAAGGATTTGTTGAGCTGCCTGGAAAACAATCTTTTGCTTAGTCTTGGTGTTTTTATGATTTCCTGAATAAACCTTGAGCTTTTGTGGTGCTAGAGTCTGTCTTTGCAGGAGAACTCTCTGTCTTTGAATGAAGATAACTTTATTCTAGAAGAATGTTGATGCCTGTTGTTTATTTTGGAATGAAGGCAGAACTGCTATTTCTTTTGCAAAAAAACCCAAAACTTCTCAAAAGGAAAAAAAAAAAAGGCAAAAGAGAAGGGTGATTTCTCACACCAGTGTGCACAAACCCCCAACATTCCAGCAACTGTGTGGAGAGTAGGATGAAACAGGCTCTGATGTGGAACCCCTTCTGCTGTTAGCTGGTGTTTGAGAGACGCTTTGACACTATAATATAGGGTTGCAAATTGGAATTGCAACACCCTGCAATTGGGCCAAGTGATGAAGCAGCACAATAACTGCCTGCTTGATCTTACCCCTCTCTCTTTAATGTGCACGTAAAAGATACCGGGAGCCTTTCCAGGCATCTGTCAGGGGGTCTGATGCTGTGAGAGAGGGAGCTGCGGGCTGTGTGTGGTTCCCGTGGGTGTTTGTGTGTTTTACCAGCATTTCATATGGTGTGATAACTACAGGGCAAAGTTTCAGGTTTTATAACAGTTGGGTTTTGTTTGTTATTAAAAGCTTATAAAAATAATAATTGAAATGGTGGATTATGGCAGAGAATGCAGTTCTTATGCTCTCTTGTCACAGGAGTTTCACAGGTAATTGGTCTAGACCTGGGTGTCGTCTTTAATATTTCATTTACTCCAGAGTATTAAAACTCACTTCCTTTAAGGCGATTGCTGGGCTTTTTACACAGCTAAACTTGTGTTTAACCTTGCTGTGAGAATGTGACAGTAGGCTAGTTCAGACAGGTTAACATTCATTTGGTAACCAGCCTGCTTAATCAGCCTGCTTCAACCTGCAGCAAATTAAATCTCTGTGAGTTCTAGCAGATAAGTGAGAAAGTCGCTCTGAATTATGTATAAAAAATAAATGGGGTATTTTCAGTGCTCATGGCAGTAAATGAAATTTAAGGCTTATGATTTATTCGTGGATTTTTGTTGAGAATGATTGAAATGTATTTTACCTTAATGTTTTTATAGTCCAATTAGGAGAGTGCTGTATTTCTGAAATGTATAATGTAAATATTTTGTTTTGTGCCCTGCAAAAGTACTAGTAAGTTTTACAGGATCTAGGTGTTTTTCTGTCCTCTCTGCGCTTCATCTGAAGGAACCATTACAAAAGATGCTTTAAACACAGCCAGCACTAACCTTCTCCACATCACTAAAAATTGCATAGCATTAAATACTTTTTCCCTGCCAAACCAATCAATCATCTTCATTTAAGAGCTACTCATATTGTAAAATCAGTCCAGATAGGTCTTAGGTGCTTCTGAAATTGCCATTTGTGGTCATCCAGCTTGCTTCTCCTGGACTGAAGTGCTCTCCAGAAGAGGCAGGAGGGTGGGCAGAAGCTTTAAAGGTAGGGATGGCACAGGTGGTTCTGGTCACAAAGTGGGCAGTTCTCATTTTTAGGCATTACAATTAGTGCATTTTAAATATATATATATGACCGTATTTTCAAATATTATTGCTCTGTGTTTGCAGGCATCATAATAATTTTGTCTTTCAAATGACAGTAGAATTTTTCTATTGGTAGCTCTTAAAAATTGAGATTTAGGCATAGAGCAAAAGGCAGAAGTGCTGTTTCTGTTGGCACCGGCTGCTGAACATCCATCCTGTGGACTGTGCTGACTGCAGTGTCACCAGTTTGGGCTGTGTGTTCGTATGAGGAATATGGTGTGCACCCTTGACATTTAAAATGACCAAAAAGGAGATGAAATGTATTTTTGGACTTGCCAATGTGATTGTGTCTATTACAATGTCTGCTGGTAAACAGATCTTTCGAAATACAATTTTTTTTCAAGATGATTTAACTGTGTTTAATTACTTGTATCAGTACTTACCATCTTTATTTTAACAATTGCTTCTTGATTAGCAAAAAAAAAAAAATCTAGATTTGCATCATCAATGCATAGCACTGCAAAAGTTGCCATGTACAGTGATGTTTCAAACTTCGATACTACTTCAGGAGAAAATAACAGCTCAAGGCCCTTTGGAGTTTGCAGTTCCATGGAATTTGTTTTGATACTCTGTGCATACACCTCAGTAATATTTTAGTGTAAGGAATAATTTTAGTTTTTCAGGCTTCTTAATATTTGTTTAAATAATGCAGTCTTTAATTTTAATCTCTAAATAACCTTAAACCCTCCCCCCAACCTTTAATTGAGACTGTGGCTTTACTGAAGAACCATTGCTTGCTTTGTAGATGACTCTAGCTGTGTCGGGACTGACTTTTCCTTGCCATCGACTCACAGTTGGAAGAAGATCTTCACCTGTACAAACAAGGGAGCAGTCAGAGGAGGTAAGGGCATGATCTTTGTGTTACCAGTCTGCTCTAGGAAGAGGCAGGGACACCTCAGGGTGCAGTGGTCACCATCCCTCCTGTTGTGATGTGTCAATAGAATTGCATCTTACATCAATCCATTTACATTTCCTGCAATTGTGACAAAGTGAGGAACTGGGCAAAGGAATCATTGAAGAAAAAGAGGAAAAAGAAAGCAAACAAATCCCAGCAAAGCATCTGACTGGGAGAGATGACCTTAGCTCCTTGCACTAAAATCTTGATTTTTCTCCTTTATATGGGTATTCCATACCAATATTAAAGCCACCATTGTGTGGCTTTTCTCCCTCTTTCTTATGCAGTTAGACCAGCTCTGGTACCATTAGATGGAAAACAGCATTAACTTTGGATAAAATTTGCTCAACTATTACCTTTGATAATGCTGTATAAAATAGTAAATTAAACTGCAGTATGTTATGTGTATTTGTCACTGTGTGTGTATTTTGTATTTCACTGAAAATATCTGAAATAGAAGCTTACAGTGGATTTTGGGTTTTGTTTTTATACAGCAATGCACTGATGTTCATATGGTTAGTGATAGTGATGGAGATGACTTTGAAGATGCAACTGAGTTTGGAGTTGATGATGGAGAAATGTTTGGAGTAGCTTCATCTGCCTTGAGGAAATCGCCAATGAGTAAGAGTTGCAATTAACTGGAGGTTGTACAGCAGAGGTGAAGGCAGAGAGGTGGGAGGGGTCTGCAGAATTAGACACTGGAAAGTGTTTTTTAATAGGAATGGTAGAATTGTTTGAATGTCCTATCTGATGGATGTACCAAAGGAAAATACTGCACACATAACTGGCAACTATAAAAGACTTTTCCATGTAGGGAAATTTTTAACTTTGCAACTGAAGAATAATAACTGAACTTAAAATTGATAAGTAACAAATAAAGTCAGAGAAATTGTGATCTCTATTCAAATGCACCTGTAGATAACTAGATTTCCACTTGCCTGTTTTGAAAATTCTACAGATTGTATTTTTGATTAATGTTTTAGTCCTTATGCTAATCAAGCTTCTCAGTGATTATTTCCCTTGAATTATGAAAAGGATTGAGCAGGAGCAGTCAGTTACCTCCTACATGCAATTCTTGTATACTCTTTATTTACTTTACACCTGTGCTAGTGTTATTTCATTGAAAATTTTTTGACAGCAGATATATGTAATAATGTGGAAAACTTTTTAACATTTTCAATAGGAAGGAAGCTTTCAAGCTTTAAAGTAAGTCCAGAGTGCCTACTCTGAGCACAGGATATATCACATTACACTGGACTTGAGGATTTTTTCTCATTGGAAAACCTGAGACCCTCTGGAAGTTTCTTGTCTTTTGAAAAGTTCATAGTCAATAGTCCTTCATGAAGTTTACATGGTTTCTTGGTAACACTTCAGTAAGCTGGGAACATGAAATACCTGTGAAGTGAATGTATTTGCATATTACAATCTGTTTCCATAGAGTTGTATGTCTTTTTTTTTTTTTTCCATTTTTTTAAGTGCCAGAAAATGCTGAAAATGAAGGAGATGCCTTATTACAATTTACAGCAGAGTTTTCTTCAAGGTAAGCTTAGCCTGTTAACTGTGCAATTCTTATTACAAACTCAGTTAAAGTTAGTAAATAATGAAAATAAGAATAAACCAAGTCTACATGTTTTCTTGTGAGATTATAGCATATTTAGACATCCTAATCTAATTTATTTAAATTCTAATTCTGCTGCTAGAATTGCTTCTGAAATAAAATTATTTCTCAGCCCAAGCTGGAGTGGTTGATTCTTGTCCTATTTGTTTTGCCCCTATGTAGTACCATTACTTAATTATGTAAAGGTCCAGCAGGATGAAAAAGACTGATTATATCTGATAATTTTATTATGATATGCAGGAACAGAAAAGCTGAAACTGATTAATATTGAAAAATCAATACATAGTTGCTGTAAGAGTTTTCACAATAGCAAAGTGGTTGGGTAAATATTGACTTTTAAAAAACAGAGATATTCTGGATTTTTAAAACACTTTATACTACCAAATCATGCACTGTTAAACAGTTGCTTGTTTCATTGAATAGGCAGAAGCTGCAAAGTAATGCGAAGTTTGTTTAATTTCTGTTTTCACTCCAGTGATTAAATATTCCTTTATGTGCATGAGATGCATTAATGTGTAATGGAAGAATAGCTTTCAATTAACCTTTAAGATTGTAATAAAGAGAGGAACTATGTTGAAAATTTTATAGAAATTTTGCAGAAAATTATGTAGAACTTAAGGTATCTACATGTGTAAACAGAATGTTTTTATTATAAAGTTTGTGAGGTAGTAGTTCATTACTTTGAGTTTTTCAATGCCAGAAAACAAATGGGTCCTAAATATTTTCTTTCTGTCCTTTAGAAGTGTAGTGCTCATCTTTATAAAGATTCAGCCAATGCATTATATTTACAGAATACATGAAAGGGTAGAATATTGCAATTACTTGATGTCATCCTTTTTTATTAATTGGAAATTTTATCTCAAATAGATATGGTGACTGCCATCCTGTTTATTTTATTGGATCATTAGAGGCTGCTTTTCAAGAAGCCTTCTATGGGAAAGCAAGAGATGTAAGTGTGTATTAAAACTACTTTATTTAAAACAGTGGGGGAATGGAAATCACCTTAGGGGTTTCATCTTGATTTTTGAAAAGCTGAGCTACATTTTGGAGTTATTTTGCTTTTATTGTTCTAGAATAGTTGCACTCATTCAGTTGACTGACTAAAAGACTTACCTTGGTGGTTGCTGAAATTGCAGTGAATAACTGATGCTTTCTAATCATTCAGGCTGTATTTTTACTGGAGCTCTTTAGTTGTCAAAGCTACTCTTTTTCTTTTCCCCTCCTCCCTTTTCTTCCTGAAATAATGGTGTCCTAGCACCAGATAACCCTGCCTGTGAGTCTTGTGGTTGACAAGTTCACTGTTGCATGTTGGTAACTCCTTTGAAGAATGCCTAATGAAATTGTAAATTTAAATTGGAAGCTCTCTCAAATACAGTGTGCTTTTTCTTTCCCCTTTGTACAGCCTTTATCTGCCAAGTTCCAGTACTAAGGTTTGGTTGTTTAGTTTTTCTGTACATCCAGCCAGGCATCTCAAGTTTCTGTTATTCTATGCACAGTTTTAAAATCAGTATTTTAATAAAATTAGAATGGGGACAGTTTATTTAAGTTTTGGTGACTTGATTCACTAAGGAGAAACCCAAAACCCTGCATAATTAAGCACAGATAAAGCTGAAACACAAACAAGAAAATCATGCTCTTTAAATTTACTTTTTGTTTTCTTGATAGATGTTTAATTTTAAAGTGAAGAATGTAGTTATTCATATTGGAAGGAGTCTCTGTATTATGTTAGGGGCTGTTCTGATAAGTGTGAGAGTTATAAATCCATACTATATAGCTGAAGTTAACACATACTTAACACTCTAAGTTTAGTGAATATTTTCATGTCTTTGCACAAAGAAAAAAATCCTGTGAATTGAACAAGGAAAGGGTGTGAGTTGGGAAGTTCATTTAGTGTCATGTCATCAGAAATGGTTGACAGTGTATCAGTGTAATAGTGGACAAAAGCTCATAAAGAACTTTCATGAACAGTTTTCTACCTATAAATCTGATACTGGTACAGTGCAGTTACTTAGTTTTTTGTTGCTCAAAGTGCAGTTACTTATTTTTTTGTTGTTCAAAATGCTTCTTGTGCTACTTACATAGCACTTCTGAAATTCATGTCACCTTACATTTTTAATATTTTGTGATTTATTCATACCAGGTTATCATCACAATAAAACCATTATGTCTATATATGTTATATGTATGTATATTTAGGAGAGTATTAATTTTTGTTTGTATTGTTTGGATTGTTGGGGTTTTTTCTGAATATTGCCTTATTTTGAAAGCTCTCTGTCCCACCTTTGGAACAGCATAATTTGTATTGTAACATTCTGATTTTAAGCAAAGATATGAGAATGTGGAAATACCATTTGTTTTCACTGCTTTTCCCTGTTACAAAGTAATTTTTTCAGTACTGGCTCCTGGAATTCAGAATTGAGGAAAGGGACACATTATTTCATATTTTTATAATTTAATTTCCTAAAATAATTTTTAAAATATATATCAGTATAAAAAAAAAAAGCTTTGGAGAAATTGCAACCTGTGTGTCTTGTCTTCTAATTTATGCTATGGAGGACACTTAATTTTACCAGGGCAACAGATGAGCTGCAGGCACCAGCATTCTTCACTTGAAGTGAGAAATTGAGTTCCAAGAGTAAATAAAAACAAGATTGAAGGTTTAAATCCTCTACTAGGCTTTTTGAACTTATATACTCATTAAATGTTTATTGGAGTGGTGGGATTACGAAGGATTTGGGCAGCTTCATCAACTGGTATATACTTAATCACTAAGTAAAACACTACATTTGATAGAGTGTTTCTCACGATGCCACACTCAATCCATCTTAATGAAAACCGCTTCAAACTGATTTAATTTGAGAGCACTTGGCAGCTCGAGTGCTCAGAGATCTTGGCCTTTTCTTGACAAATTCTCAACTCTGTCCAGAGCAGAAGGTGCACTCTGCAGTTCATGTCTAGTGAGACAGCCATCAGCTGTGTTTTAAATCTGTATTGTGGATACTTTTTACCTCAAAAAAAAAAAAAAAAAGCCTAATGTGTATAAGCATGAAGCTTTTTTCCAGGAATATTTTCATTTGGGTTATTTAAAGAAAATTAACTTACGTCAGAACATGTGTTTTGAATGCAGAATATGAGTTCAATTTCTTTTTATGAAAATAGATGTTTCCTGTGAAATCTCATTGTCTTTTCATGTGTTGGAAAGGATGGTAATTCATAGTTATTTAACAAAATGTTGCTTGAAAAAGAAATACCTTTTTATCAAAGTTGAGGTGTTTATCTGCTGTGTTTGAGTCATTAGCCAGTGAAGATTAACATACATGATGGGTATCTTTTAACCTTTGGAGCAGCTGCTGCCACAACAATGCCAGTTTTTGGTAGGAGAGGTGGAATGAGGTCAAATGTGGCTCTGCTTTAAAATCTGTATAACTCTTTGCCACAAATATATTACCAAGATATAGAGCTTGCTTTTATCAGCCAGTGTCCTTGGCCATGAAATTCCCAGCTGCCTCCAGCAGCCTGACAGGTAAGGGTGTTGTGTTTTCATTTCTTATTGTATATATGACAAGAAAATACTTTCAGTATTTCCTTTAATGGGGTCAGGAAGAGAAAGAGAGACAGAGCTTTATTAAATCAAGTTAAGCTGGGTTTTGTGAAAGTCTTCCTCTGTCTATTGGAAAGAAGAGTTTCACCGTCACTAAGTTTCTGAGGAATGGGCTTGCTCTTGCTACAGAGCTACACTGCCATAGGAGTTGCTACACCTGATGCCATGGAAAAAATCCTATAATAGACATTTTTAACAAGGTGTTTGGGGAAGGTGTCTTTGTGTCGGAAAGCAGTTTGTGGGTGTCTTGTGTTCTGAGACATCAGAGGGTTTATCCTAATTTGTGGTGGTGTTGTTACTAATACTGGATTTTAATTGCCATATCGCAGCCTACTGAGTTATAAATGTAATACTAAAATATTTTCCTTTATTAGAGCTTGTTTGTCTTTTCATTTTTATAGGTGGTTGCTACTCTTTTATTAAGAGAAAGAATAAAGACATTGCCTTTGCCTTTGCAGGAGCTCTTATCTTTATATACCTCTGTCAGCTCACCTCCTGCTCCTCTCTCAACCTTTCTGTCCACTGACTTTTAATAAATATGTGAAACATCTCTCTTAGCACAGATTGGTATTGTCACCTCAATATATATTCCTGCATTCTGAAAATGAACCGTGTTTTTCTTCTCCTTGAATTCTGTCTTTTAAGTTCAATTTAGAAGCAGCACCATCCCTCTCACATATGGATTCTTTATTTCCTGAATACCTAGAGCAAAGTGTGCTCCTTCCATGATTTGGTGTGTTCAAATAAAAGCTATTTTTTCCCCTCTTCCTTGGTGGTAGCAGAATATTCCTTCATACAGGGCTTTCTGTACCATCATTTTTATCCGTGTAACTCAGAAAAATGTCCCTTATTATTTCAGCTAAATAAGTTTATACTGAACTTATTACAGATTGCACCTGGAGGAATTGCCACTTAACAGATTCTGATTAAACATAAATAACCTGACCACTAATGTACATGGTCTGGTTGAAACTGGAGGACAGGTATAGAAGTATAATTCTAGCTTTTCAGGAAGAGTGAAGCAGCTGTACTATGACAAATATCAGTACATAAACTCCAATTAAGTCCCATGTTAATCACTATTTTCTTTCCAGTCTTGCCTGGTGTGTGTTAGCAGTTCTGTCCTTTAATTTGTAAATTATTTCTGAATTTGTGGATAACTATTGTTTAGAAATTTCTACTACAACACCAGTTTAGTAGCTTCAATGTTTGCCTACAAACCCTTCATTTTCCATATCTAAAGAGTAGCTTCTTCTTTCATATCTGGAGGGTTGCTCCCAGGTATGGGTCTCTCCTCTTTATTTTTTACTAAATAATGGAAGTTTTTTGAACTTGTCTACCTCACTCTGCATTTTCTCTACTTTCAAAGCTTGTGATTATAGATCTTACCTGACTTTGGTGTTAATTACTGGATACTATTTGCATTATGTAAGCTACCACTACAGGTGCAATTGTTTGAAATGGAGACACAGCAGTATAATAGGATCAAATATTTGGAAGATGAAAGTAGACTAAAGCAGGCTTTAACACACCTTTACCTGGGAAAGTGGGTAGCTGTTTGAGCACCTTACCGTTGGTCCTGTGGATTCTTCATCACTGATGGATTTTTGAGACTAGATGTTTTATTGAAAGGTAAAATTACAGGAAGTTTAAACTGGGAGTTAGTTTGGGGATGTCTTATGCCACGTTTAATACAAAATATGGAATCAGAAGTTTACAGTGATTACCTCACTCCTACTTTAGGAACTTGTGGGGTACAGTTTTTTTCAGATGTCTTCTACAAGGCTAGGTGGATAGCTGTGTCCAAGGCTGATCCCATGAACTCCAAGATCACCTTGGACAGGTGGATCACATTGTGCACTTCAAAGATTTAAAGAAGTGCAAATGTATCCCTTTGTTTGTTTTAATTAATTCTCACTGCATAAAACCTGGAGAAAAAGAATTAAGATTTTGATTTGTTAGCCTACCAGTTTGACAGAACTTTGATGCCTCTAGTAGCTGTTACATCATGAACTTTTCTGTCTCAGTCATTACTTGAACTTGTAAACCTGAGATTCAGAAATAACCATTCAGGTTTGTGATTTTGTTGACCCTTATGATTGCATTCCTATTCCCATTAAGTTCATATTCTTTCGAGTTAGATATCTGAGTTATTCACAGTATTAGGAACTGACTGAGAAGCTTAGAAATCCCATTACCCACTGATGCCAGTTTAGTCACCTCAAGATCTATGGGGTTTTTTGCCTCAGTGACAACTTTTCTTCTAATTCTGTACAAATGTGTTAACTTCTCTGAAGCTTTAATGCCTGGTCTTCAGCATGCACATACTCTGAAAAATGCATCCCTTGGTGGCTTAACTTCCTCAAGTCCTAAGGCCTTTGGAAGTCCATCAGGTATTCAGTGCTTAAAACCTTTCTGGTATTCCATACCTTTCTAGGGACTAGTAAAAGTTTTTCCCTTTTGTATTTTTTAAATTAAAATTTCATGCTAAGTATATAACCTCTGAGTCATATTTTTGAAATTCCAACACAGAGCAGTCTAGTGCTCCATTAGTAGGTTTCTTTTGTGTATTTTGAGGCTGTTCAACAGTTTTGTAAGGCTGTTTTAGTAGTTCAAAATTCACTTCAAAATACTCGCTATTAGTCATAATACAATCCTAGAATTTACTGTGACTTTTCAAAGGCTTGAAATAAACACAACCAAAACTTGCTTATAAATATGTGCTACCATGGGTTAGTAAAATAAACAAACATGAAAACAAACCCATACAACAGCAGCAACAACAACAAACTTCAAGCTGTGAGCCTTTTGCAATCATGCATTTTTCCAAGGAAAAAATGCCCCTGGCTTTCACAAATATTTTTCAAAATAATGTTTTAGCACTTCAGTTTCTCCTGCTACCCCTTTGCATTTATGATAGCAGTATGCCTGTGCCTACCCTTAACATTTTGGATGCAATATCAGGTGCAAGTATAATCTTTTATATGTGATGGAGTTTAGTCTTAGCATGGTAAGATTTGTTGATGCAACAAAAATTACATTCCCTTGGGAAGTAACTCAGTGTAAACCTCCATTGTGTTTGTGCCTGTTCTGTTTACTGAAATTTGTCCCTAAATCTTTAAGCCTAAAACTGTACATATTTTGAAACATTCTGTTGTACGGAATCTCATATTTAACAGTTTCATGGGGTTGTTTCTTTGGAAGTAAAAGTGTTTCTCAAGAGCCTTTTTTTCTGTCCGCTCTCAGTGAAAAGAGGAGAGCAAAGCCATCCGCTTACCACAAAGCAGTGCCACCACAAAGGAAAGATTAAGGGTTTAGAGAGAGGTCAATGTGGGTTTTTCTCTAACTAAACACTTTCCTAAAGTTTCCTTGTGGAAAAAATAATGAAGTCATCTCAGAGTTTTTAAAGAATTTTTATTTCTTTTTCACCGTCTGCATTCGCTTGTCTTCTCAGCATGGATGTTTAATCTTTCTAGGCTTTGTGAATTGGTCCAAATGAATAAGTGGTGAGCTGTCTCTCTAGGAGCTAGAGGCTTATTCTAAGGCCCTAATCACTGAGTAAACACATCTTTGCCCTCCCTCTCTTACAACTGCTATATAATAGTTGAGATTCTAGCACAGTAACCTGGATATTGCAGGGATCGACGCTTTGAAATGCAGAACGGCTGATCCTCAAAAACAGACAGTGCCTGATCTTCCCCTGCCTCTTTCTTCTTTTTAAATTAAATATCACCACAGAAATGCTGTTTTATTGCATGATATTGTGCATCAGTGCCCTGGATTTTCAAGTTTAGTTTCAGTCAACATTGTTGGCTGCACTTATATGGATCTCTGCATGTTGGGCTTATTAATGGCCCTTCCTGGCACATGTGTACGTGTTTCTGAAGAACATTTAAATTAAATTAGACAAACAGTAATGCAAATTACTAATCCCTTTCCCAAAGTCGAATGTTCAAATGTTCCTTTTATAAACAGTCATTAAATTTTATCCAAAGCCAGTATATGAGGCGAGAGCCCTACAGGGGCTTTCTGCAAAGACAGCTTATCTGGAAATTGCATCCCATGTCTTGCTATATCAATACACATCAATATCTAGGGTTCAGTGTTACTTCTGATGAAGAGATTTGAAATTACTTTAAATAAAAGTCTGAAAATAGCACCGGATCATCTCAGCAAATATGTTCAAGAACTATTTTTAAATAAAGTAATTTATATGGGTATGGGGGAATGGAAAGCTGTAATTTTCTGAATTATATTTATAATTCATTGAATGCCAGTTGCAGAATCACAGTCCTTAGCTAGCTCATAGTCTCCCTCTATATTTGCAGCCTGCTTTCTATATTTACATGCACACAGTCTTGTTTTCCAAAAGGTGCTCTTGAGATTTTCATGGGGACGCAGCTGCTGGCAGTGAAGCTCAAGTTTTACTTGATAGGGTTCCAGAAGACAGCAAAGAATATTTTGTTTCAAGAGACCATAGGCACCATCTCAACATGTAGAGCCTCTTTTTTTTGGCTACGGAGGTGGTGATAGCAATGCACTATCATTTTTTTCAGGTTGTTTATAATTATTTTTTGTGGTAGATGCTGTCCAGTCAAGAGGCATGTTCCTTGTTCATAGAAATATTATTTTTGTTGGGCAACAAGCTAAAGAAGTTCACTCATTTCTTAGGTCTGTTAATAAGGTTTTTGTTTTTCATTCGTTGTTCTTTTCATGTTCTAAGCACATAATATATTGTATTTTAGCGCTCAAAATATGAGGAAGCATTGAGAATATTTAAAAAATTGCAGGGATACACCATTTGAATTGAAATCTTCTGATTATTTCTTGTGTTGAGATACTTGTCACCCTTGATAAACCCCATTGTGAGTCCTAAACCACAAATCCGCAGCAGCAGCTTTAAATTGTAAATTGCCTCAGGAACTTTTCACTCATCTCTTGTCACATTTTTTCCAGAGAAAGCTTCTTGCTATCTACCTCCACCACGATGAAAGTGTACTAACCAACGTCTTCTGCTCACAAATGCTTTGTGCTGAATCCATTGTCTCCTACCTGAGTCAGAACTTCATAACCTGGGCATGGGACATGACAAAAGAAGCAAACAGAGCAAGGTAAGACTCTTTGGACTCTGAGTGGAGCAACTTTTCTCAGGAAGGCCCTTATCTCTGGCTGTCAGATCTTTTGGTGCTTAATGTCTGTTTGAGCTAAAACTTCATGCTCGTTCTCAGCTGACCAATGGAGCTGTGCTGGCTGACATTCATTGGCAGTTGGGCTGGCCTTGTGTTTATCACAAAGTGACTTCTTATTTCTGTGCAGAAAAAAAGTAATTGAAGGAATTATTTCCTTTCTTTTTTCAGTTTATTTTCAAACATGATTCTGTATTCAAACATGTGCCTTCACAGTTATGCATTGCAGTGCCATGATATTACATGGCATTAATTGTGTGTATGTTGGTGTAACTGCACAAGAGCTGTCTGGGGTAATAACTGTTGTTGTTAATGAAAATCTTATTTTAAAAATAGCATTCATGTGATAGATTATGGAAAATGTTAAACGCTTGCAATTCATATGTACTTTTTTGAACTACCGTTTTCCTACAGAACATTCCTTTGGGAATGTTCAGATATTTTGGGTTTAATATAATAAAAGCTATCTGATGTCTTTGAGAGACCATAATTTTGCTGATGAGTAAAGAAACTAAAACTGTAGATTTCACCTCCTTCTACAACTTCTGTAGATTACCAACAGATTTCCGTAGTGTTATACCAAGGCCTTTCTCTTCTTTAGTTATTTATCAGTTGATCATGATCTACTGAAAATAGTGATATTATTATTATTATTATTATTATTATCATCATCATCATTATAACATTTAAAAATCAGACTTGTTTGGTTCTCTAACTTGGACCTTATTTCATAACTTTTATTTACCCAGAAGATGACTGATCATGTCTTGCCAGGGTAACAACCTATGTATGTTACTATAATTAGAGTTACTCTAATTTTTGACTGAAGGATGCAGCAGTCATTTGGCCTGGAATAAGGTTGCCACTTCTTCACTCAATTCCAGTGATTATTGAGCAAGGAAAATTATACATTCATGCTTCTTTATCTTGTGGATTATTTGACTAGAGCATTTATGCATTTCTAGTCTTCACTATGTAAATTATAGTTAATATTTCTTTACTGAGGTGACGTTGGAGAATGGAGTAGTCTCTTTTTCTAATGTGCTTTTTAAATGACACTTTGTATTTCTCAGGAATTCCTCACTTGACCTTCTGCATTTTTTCGTTGGAGGGATCAGCAGCAATGTTTCTAGTTTGAGTTATTCTAGAGAAGTGTAGAAGGTTATGGAAAAAAGCAGTTGCAAAAACAGATTAAAAGTTTCTGAAAAAGAAAAAAGTAAGAGAGGAAAAAGAAACATCTAGGTTCTTTCATAGGGCCAAATACATAGACTGGAAAGTTGCTTAAGTCTTTTGGTATTGCCATTCATGGGCAGTAAGGAGCCTCCTCCTTTTCTTTTATCCCACAAGTTGGTGTAGAAGGAAACACTATTTCTAAACCATCTGTAGTGGCTAAGTTCAGTTGACTACCTGCTGTTCTATTGTCTGCTCTTCTATTTAATTCACTAGTTTCTTTTATTTTACAATGACAAAAAATTGCAGTGTAGTTTCTTTTGAAAAACTGTGTTTGAGGGGTTTTTTATGACTAACGATCAACAGCCATGTAATTGCTTTGTTGTGTTTTACTAAAGAAATCTATTAAGTAGCACAACTTTGATACACTAGTAATAAGAGTTTGCAGGTTACACAGACACCTGTGGTGACCAAAGCGACAGAAGCTGCTTGTTAGAAAGAGCCTGTACAGCTGTGTCCTATTAACTCCTTATGACACTTCTTAAAACACAAAATAAAGGGCTTGTTTAAGGCTTTATAGCTGCTCTCAATGAACTTAGTCCCTGATTGTGCTGGACGATAGGGTTTTTAAGCCTTCATTTTTTTGCTTTCTGTTACCAACAAGAAAGAAACTGTCATATTAACAGTGAGGTCAAAAAATAGTAAGGAGTAAACAAGGCACGCTGGCTCGAATTAGAATAATTTCTCAGTTATGTTTAGTGTCACATCCTGCTCAGACTGATTTCTTCAGAGGGGGCACGATGCCTCTTTCTCCCTTTGGAAAGTGCCAATGCACTGTGGGCATTCCCATAAATAAATACTCAGTCCCTCGGTTCAATCACTGCCCTTCATGTGACTCAGTGACAGTGGTCTTGGAGCCCATTCTGTTCTCTAGCCCTATGAACATACTTAAATGTAGCTTTTTATTTGAATGCTGAGAAGACAACAGCAACAGGAGGAACTGGGCTTTGCCTGCTGGTGTAGCCCAAGAGTAGCTCGTTTATACTCTTACAATTGCATTGTAAAAATGCTGGCAAAGCCAGGGTGGGACAGCAGAGGAATCAGACCCACTTGATTTACAGCAGTCAATAGAGACACCTCAATGCCAGTAGTAAAAGACATGGATTCAGTACTGTGGAATGGCATGAGTAAATTCAAACAGCTATAAAGACTTTCCTTTTATAAGCCAAAAAAATCTTCTTAATGTTTTGATCCACAAATGTCATTCTATTCCAAAATCAGTCCTAATAGTTGTTTCCCATTTTCTCATTAATGGAATGAGGGTCCATCCTGAACACTGTAGAACAAAACCAGCTCCAAATTCATGTCATTTTCTCCAACTTTCAATGTGTTTGTCAGCTGACATTGATACAGGAATGTGCTTTAAAACCTGCATTACTGTACAATAGCACATTTCTTCTGGAATCTCTCAATCTTCAATATCCATTCCAATAGATTTAAGAGAGTCTGTAGGTAGTAGTAAAAGGCTGTGAGAGCACTGGTACCTGCCAGCAGCAGTACAAGAAGCATTAAAACTTTGGAAGTCAGATACTAAAAAATTTCTTACTGCAGCCACACAGGACTGTTACTCTGTAAAATAAAGGAAAAGTAGTTAATACAGTTGAGGGGAAGTTTTGTTTTGGCTTCCATGGGTTTTAATTGCCTCAGACATCAGGTTTGCAGTGAAGGCAGCAATTGCTCCCTTACTTTGAGTAAGTTAGTGATTATGAGTTTTTTCATTAATCATAATAAAATTGCATGAAAGGGAAAATAAAACAAGTAGCCTTCATTTAGGAAAATAATGTGGTGTTTTTGTAATACAGTTAAGGAATATACATGAAATCTTTATCTCCTATAGTTTAGACTTCAGTTTAGGGGCAACTCTTTGAAATATTCTTGTGATATGTTCCTGTCAAAGGAGGAAAAAGGCCACTAAATTACACATATATTTCTAACTTTAGCTCTTTTTATATTCCACTCAATTTGAGGTGACTCATGAGCTTAAAAATCATTGCTTCCTTTCAGTTGCTTGCAGTGAAGATTGCTACCATGGCCCTTCAGACAGCAGAAATTTGGGGGGAGGTGTCAGGCGGTGCCAGTGGGGTTTGGCTGCAGTGGTGCTGGCAGTTCTGGCCCTGCCACTCGGCCCAAGCACATCTGCATTGGGCCATCACTTGGGCTGGGCAGTTCCTCAGGTTTCCAGAGGGATTCTGGGATGGACAAGCAGGAGAGCCAGACATGAGCAGCTCTAGTTCTGGCACTTCTTTTGTCAATATCATTGTTCTAATTCAATTATGTGCATGGGTTATGTATGTGCAAACACATGCCTAACTGGTTTTGTTAATTCATTAATGTGCATTAATACATTTGTATCCAGGAAAGATGTATAGTGATATATATATATACACACATGCACACACCCCTTATATTTGTGCACACAGCATTAACAAACACAGATAATGCATAACATGAAGAGCTTTCCAGCACACATGGTGTTTGTTAAGCAAAGCCAAAACCATAAGACAGTGACTCAAAAACCTGTAGCAGCTTTTTAGCTTTTGATATCATTGCCCTTGGGCGCCGTATTTCAATGTGTTGCCAATTTTGCTCTGGTGACAGGTATTTGTTAGTTTTAATGTTCAAATGATAGTTTTTCACTTTGCTTAAGCTTAGGAAAGAGTTAATTCACTAAAGTGCTTCTCAGCAGCAAGTTGTCTTCACCTGCAATTTCCGTCATCAAGTGATTAGCCATATTCACAGTTGCTGACCCTTAATTCTAACCTACTGAATGATGCATGCCTGGATGAAGACCAGTTGACCATATTACTCCAGCTCTCCAATCCCATTTGATCCTTCAGCAAATATATTGCAGGTGCGGGGTCTGTGAGAGCGGGAGGAGATGAGTTAATTTCTTACTGCCTCTTCAGTAGTGACCACAGATTCTGTATATGTTGCTTGCAAAACTGTTGGACATGTTCTTCAGTCACTAAATCCTTAACAGGTTTCACAGAGCAGTGTGAAAACCTTTTCTATTGTATTCTGCAATTTTTTATTTAATTTACTTTAATAGCAATACAGTGCCAGTCAATAAAAACAGGTCAGAAGTCTAATTAATGTTTTAAAAATAAAGGTTCTCAAACACCAGGCGAGTTTGTCATTTTCTGTATGGTTTGTTTTGAGGAGGAAGAGGAAAGAAGGTGAGGAGGGAACCCTTCTGTTCCATGATTACATCCCACCCGCTCATTTTCTCCTTTTCTCCTTTGCTTTTGATTTTAGTGGCGGTCTTAACAGAATGTCAAGATCAATTTGCAGCATGGTTTAACTCAAGGTTTGCATTCTGCCAGCAGCAATTGTCCCACTGAACAATGCTGTGTGTTCTTGTAACTTCAGAAGCTTTTAGAAGGCTCATGGCAAGGGCAGCATCTAATGACTTTATTAGTGTAGGGTTTCAAAATGGACTCGGTAATTGTTCGCATCTCTTTGTCATTTAGTCATAATTACTGCATGGTATTGTTCAGGGGTGCACTTGTGAATAGTTTCCTAATAGCACTGAAACGAAGGAAAAAAAGGAAAAGGATAAAAGGTGATTGTCTCTTTAGATGGAGAACAAAACATCCTGTATATAGATGATGGTTAAACTGTTTATTATACACCCACCAGAAAAGGTAAACTATCCCTGCTTAAATATTTATGTGCTTCAAGGTAATTTCATGTTA